TAGACTACTGTTGGTGCTACTATAGCGTGAGGTCTACCTCCCGTTAGTACTATAGCATGAGGTCTACCTCTGCATTATCCATCCCTCATGGATATCACACATTTCCATACATTTATTTTAGCGATAAACATTTAATTTGTACATATCCTAGGAATGACTTAAATAGATAATTGGTTTTCTAATTAAATTTATATTAAAGGGGGTAGGCGACATATGGCAGTAGACCTCACGCTAATGCGATAGACCTCAGGCTGCACCTGGGTAGGCGACATATGGCGGTAGACCTCACCCTATAGTAGCACCCTACTGTCTTTGTTGTCTAAGTGGCACAAGAAATACCAACCCCAAATTTATTATTTAATTTCTGTAGTGCATATCGGGGTATAAAAGACATTTTACTACCAGAAATAAAAAACAAAAACTGACAGTACAAAATTTCAACTGCTTTGTAATGTCAGTTTTTGGTTTGAGTTTTAGCGGAATGCTCTTAAAGAAGCTGTAAAGCAAAACATTGAATGTCTAATTAATTAAAAACAACAATGTGGTGTTATAAGTTTATTTCAAGTATTAAAACCTCAAACTTACATAAATTTTAAGTATTATATGATTTAAATACTTTTTTTTTCTTGTAGATAAAACAGTATACTGACTATCAGTTGGAAAGTTGCAGTTTTGCCCAAGAGGAATCTATTTTCATTCAAATAAAACTTTGCTACATTTCTATGATGATCTGCACTTGACTGACATTTTGTAAATCAAATACAAACTTGAGAATGAATTTTATGTGGTGAACAAACTCTTGTGTGTTCAGTTTGTCAATGAAGTAAAGAAAGAGTTTACAGCCTCTTTGGGAATCAGTTTACTCGATTTCTGTTCTAGCATCATGGTTTACAATGGGGGAGGATGCTCATGGCTAACAGTGATTGAGGATGGAGATGCTGGTGATTATGCCTTCTGATAACATTCTTGCATCAAGTTTCTGACGTTATTTATATAGGTCAAATCAATGTAAAATGTAAAAAAAATTATAATCTTTATCATGTCCATCATGATTCTAGTTACATTTTTACTTGAGACCGTGTTTATTGTATTTGTTGGTGTAGCAAGTACAGTTTATTATTTCTCTCTAACATTAGAGTAGAGTAAATCTGCAAGGTGCCACTATGTTGAAACAATTTGAAACTGCTCCTTCAGCAGACTGGACTGTTTGATTAAACAAAGAAGTACATGCTCCAGGACTAAATCGAACTGTTCACTCTCACAAAAGTAATTCTCGCCTGAGGTTATAAGATTATTTTATTTATTTCTTGGTTTTATCATTTATGGAATTTTCCTTATATTGTTTTAGTTCAGCTATATTCCTATTTGCCTTAAAAATGATAGTGGACCTGCCTGCTGGTGAATATTAAATAGATCATTCTTATGTTAAGAAATTGACATGAGGTATCCTAGTGGTGACATATGGATAGTAAGTTCATGTATGATTTCGTAAAACAAATGCTAATATGTTAATCATGTGATATGTAATCTCTTGGTTTGGCCAAGAAATAAAAGCCTCTTCTGTGAAAATATACAAGCTGCCAAGAAAAGCTAGATTTGTGATACGCAAGAATTTGGTATTATTAAAATAAAGTTCTTTGCAGATACTTGCTTCATCATTATTTGATTTCACATTATTTTTGAAAAGTGTTTAATAATATTATTCCTTTGTCTAATCCTATAAATTAAGTTTTCTTCTTCTTCCTAATTCATTATTATACTTGGTAGTTTGACATTTATATTGTTACTGTTTTTCCTTTGAATATTTCTGAGTTTGAGATACTTATTTATAAAACAATTGTTGTCACCAACTAATTCATTAATTTCAGGAATTTTCAAAACATGTTTTGTGATGAATAAACTTGTAAATTTTTTATCTTACCATTTTTGTAGTAAAATGGTTCTTTAATACATATCAACACAAGGCTAGGTTACACATACTGCAGTGATTATTTCATACAGCTTTGTTATTATTAAGTTATACCAAATTGGATGGATGGTGTAGTAGTTTGTACAAATTACTGCGAGCACAGATTAATCACCACTTTAATATATGTTAAATGGTCACTGACACAAGTAGTCTGAGATTGTGGAATACTACACTTGTAGCTGTACTTTAATTCAAAGCTGATGAGACTTAGTGTTAACAGTGTGGTACACACAATCCTCTCATGTTGATATTTCTCTGCTCCAGCAATTAGTCGGTAGTGTTAGTCTGATACTAGTAAGTAAGTCAGTAGTAGTAGTAGTAATATGGTAAAACAAAAGCCCTGCATTTAAAAACTACATCTCTCTTAAAAGTTAAAAACTGTAAAAAATAAGGTTTGTTTTATATGTGCTAGTTTTTTCTTTCCTGTCCATGTTCAATTTACTCTTTTAAAAATACTTCCTGAATATTCTGTAAATGTAATACTAACACTATTAGTATTACTAATACTAGTGTATGTATTTATAATAACACTAACTGTATCAATGATAGTGATGATAACAATTTACAGGTATTGAGGTGGTTAATATTGAAGTATTATGAAATATGTCAATCTTTATACTATCAAAATAGTATATTTTAAAATAAATGTACCTTGAGTTACTTTGAATTTCTTCAAAAACTTAAAATCTGTTTTTAACTTTAACACAACTATTTTTTATACCCATAGTCATACTCATATTTACACTTTGAACGTAGTATTACATGTGTACATAATATACTATATAGTAGTGCTAGTAATATGAAAACTAAACGTGTTTTACAAGTTCCCATAACGTATATTCAAAGTTATTGATGTTATGGAAAGAAATATAGGAAAATAAATCCTATTCAAACTATTATTATACTCTCGTCAATTCATGTTTAAAAAAAAAAGCTAAACGTTTTATAAAATATCCCATGGAGAGAGATGTTAAATCCGATAAATCAAATAAGTAGCTTTTAAATATAAATAATTCAGAAAAACGACTTCTGATACTGCTATGAAATATTCATCAGCAGGGGCGTTGAGAGCCAGCCCAGGCTCTGGGGTCAGTAATATCATCGGGGCCCAGTTTTATTCTATTTATTAACTTTTGCTGATTTTTCATAAAATACATTTAGGTGACAAATTTCTTCATGAATCCATGAAGAAGCAGTAGTCATTTTTGCTCATTAAGTAGCATGCATTTCTAACGAGCTTTGAAATATCCCACTGCCGGGCCTCTTCAACAGGCCCCGGGAGAGCTGCCCCCTTCTATTCAGCCCTGTTCATCAGACTTTCATTATAAGTTATACTTATACATTTATGTGGGAGTACACACACACACAGTCCTAAACTAACACAAGCTGCTATCAGATAAACATTATTAAACATAATCTTTACACAAGAAAAAGGGTTAGTACATGATTTCAACTTTTTAACATCTAATTGTCAATGGTGTCAGAACATCTGCAGGAAAATTGAGAAGCTAGATATGAAAAGGCGAAATTTAAACTGTGACTACCCATCCCTTTCTTAACTCAGATTCTTCCAAGCTAAAATTAAAAAGTACTAACTGAATAGTAAGTTATTTAAAATTCTTAAAATGCTGTAATCATCTCCCTCAGGCAACACACAAGACGCCACGACATTTGCATAAATGGAAGATAAAACTTTGTCAAGAGAACAAACTTAATGTTTCAAAAATAACCTGACTACCACACTCAATCAAATAATAACTCAATACTTCAGGCTCAGTTTAACATTTTCACATATTCAAGAATTAATTACTATATATTTTCCTGAATTGAGGCTTAAAATTCTTAAATAGTTATAAAACTTCAAAGAAAATTATCGATGTTAAACCACACGCTCTTCACGTGAAGTCAAACCTCCTTCCGCAAAACAACGACACAAATATCTTAATTAAAACCATAGTCTACAACATCAAACAAGCCCTTATTAAAATTTCTGCCAATACCAGATATCATTTCAGTAAGAGTAGTAAATTATGTGGCGGAATACTTCTAATTTTTCCTTACTAGGAACCAAATCCCTCGCTCTTGTGTCTTTAAAGGTACGAATCACTCATCTCTGACATAGCTGAGCTGATCGCAAAATATTTAGGCACAAGCTGACTATCATGCTCCCTCAAGTCTGTTAATTTTCTGGAGATGTTGTGGCAGCATTTACCACGTGCTGCTAGCTGTCCTGTACCTGTTGAACTATCATTTGAAACCAATAACTTTGCCTAGTATAGGCAGTTCATTTTATAGTAACCCAAAATTCCATAGTCAATGTAGATGCATTGCATGTCTCTTTCAGAACTATGTGTAGACTGCACTATAAAAACCATGGGAGGACCAGAATATCCCTCCCCATTCAATGGGTGTCAGTGTGATTGTGCCCTAGTGCCAGGACATGTGGTTGATTGATTCAGCCTTGGTGTGGCTCAAGCTTAGTTTGATGGAGGTACCTGGGTATAACAGTCTGTCTGAGGTTTAGTTTAAGCAACTACAATTGCAAGCTTCTTTCTGTTCTGCAACTGTTTCAAAGTTACCACTTTTTACTTTGTCACGACGGAAATTGACACTATATATATATCTCAAATATAGGTTATGCTTCATTGTCTCACTAGGTAGTCTCTCCACCAACTTGTCAATGAGAATATTCCCTCAATCTCCGGGGGCCACTGCAGGTGCAGGGTATGCCTTACCTTTAGAATGGCAAAGATCGTCTGCATAAGGAACAAGTTCTCTGTGCCACCAATTTTCCAAGACTAGAATTCAGCCCAAATGGATGGCTTGATTTCCATCACGTCAAAACATATGCATAACTTGACAATGACTGTCTCACAGTTACATAATTCTTTGATGACATCTAGGGATGGACATTTGAGACTCAAGATCAAGCACTGGACAGCCTTTTCTGTAGACTAACCATTCCAAGCATCTTGGATATTATGGTATGCAGGCATATTATGCATTTTACCGCTTTTTATTTTCATGGAGAATTTTCCAAAGTTTTTCTTTTATTCTAAGTCTATGCAACTTTTGCACAATATATAATCTACAAAGTCATGCAGTTGTTTTTGTTCTATATGCCTTTGTTCAATTTGTTATTCTCTAGAAATAAAAAAGTCGTAATGTCAAGATATCACCTGAACTACTGTTGGAGGACACTAACTGTCGAAATTCTCGCGCAGTTTGCAGCATTACACAAAATGCCCCAATGGACAGAATAGGGGAGTGCTAGTTGCTATGGATAAATCCAACATTTTACATAAAGTAAGAAACACTAGGTTTAAAGATTCTGGAATAGTCTTGATAGATAAAACATTCTTGTTCTTGATCTTACATGAGTTTTTTTAACAAAAAGATATAATGAATGAGAAAACCAGTTAATCAATTCACAAATCCAATGAAAGGTGACTGTCCAACATCCAGAAAGCAAGTACACAGTGTGTTTTTGTCCTTGATTGAAATAAAGATTGTTTTCATTTTGTATTAAACATCATGTCTAGTCTTTTTACTTGTTTGTTTAAACTCAGTTTTAGTTACATTATTCATTATTTTATAATTTATCTTGCTGATCCTCCCATTACAAAGCAGACCTACCTAATACTCTTTGAGTAAGTCAGTTTAACCTGAAAATACTGCAACACAATATAACCTGTCTGCCAATGGAAAAGACGGCATTTTATCTTCACATACTATGTACAACCTTATGGCTATCTTTCCTGTGTAAAGATAAAAGGTGAATCTCAGGTGAATGACAAAACAAATGATAGCTATAGTGATAGTAGCTTCACGACCTTCTTGACCAAGGTGCTGTGTACAACTGACTACACACGCACACTTGCATAAATGAAAAAATTTGAAAAGTTCCTATATTAAAGAAAATAAAAAGGTGGCTAGGACGCTCGACTCGCAATCTGCGTGTCGCAGGTTCGCATCCCAGTCCCACCAAACATGCTCGCCCTTTCAGCCGTGGGGTCAATAGTGACGGTCAAAGAGTAAAAGAGTAGCCCAAGAGTTGGTGGTGGGTGGTGATGACTAGATGCCTTCCGTCTAGTCTTACACTGCTAAATTAGGGACGGCTAGCTCAGATAGCCCTCGTGTAGCTTTGCACGAAATTCGAAACAAACAATTGTTTCAGAGTTTAAGTTGAAAAGTTTGATGGGAACTTAGATCTATAGGATGCGTCAAAGTAAAAGTAGCCTGTAGCAAACATTATCGAAGAAATGAATTAATTATTTATCGTTATGTGTACTTCACCAAAGTGGACTTAGCATTACCTTCAGCAAATAATCCAAAAGAACCCGCCCAGTGATAGGACACTTTACAACAATATTGTTACGTCTCCGTTTGTTAATTGATTTTCC